AAACACCGATGAGTCCAAACCAAAAGAGACCCAACATTTTGAATAATAATGTACTGAATATATACTTTAAAATTTTTAAACTGTAAGCCCATGGGAAAATATTTTAATGCATAAAGATCAAATTTATGAGAAATAACTGAATTTACAAATTCAAACAATATCAAACCAAAAGGATATGCTAGCATTTGTAAATCAAATTCTCATGAGCCCTAATTGCATAATTAAACTTAATATTATGCATTTAATGTGATCGAATGCATAAAACAATCTAAAGAGTATGAACCAACTAAATAATATGAATTTACACTAAATATTCATTTATTCATACTTGATCAAATATGGGCAATCATAACTCAAAGAACTAAATGAATTATGGAATTAATGGCAATAGTCGATTGCCTAGAAAATATGTTTTTCCAAGATTGCTAAATTGATTCAAAATCACTCTCCTTAACCCAGTTGATAATATTATTATTATTAATGGCAAAATTGCAAATAACCAAAATAGCAATAAATAGCCATAATAATATTATCACATTATGTAGGAGATTAAATATCGAAAAAACAATGATTAAAACCGCTAACATTTATAAACGTTTTCGGATAAAATTTTTGAAAACTTAATAAAAATTTGAAGTCCGAAAAACATTAATGTCAAGAAAATTATTTTCTGTACTGGAGTATTGTCACATAAATTTATTTGGAAACAGTTCAAGGTGCATAACTGAATACCATAACAATATTAATGTCATCATTAATTAACTAATTATTAATAGCAATAAGTAACATTATAATCACTATTAACATTAGTATTGACAAACTAAAGTATGGTAATGCACTTTTAATGTTTTCATTTTTCTAAAGATAAAATATGTGACTAGTCCAAATTAGCGGTTAACTGTAACTGTAGCACTAATTATCAATAATAACCATAAAAGATAATTAATGACTAACCTTAATGATGCAAACCGCATCTGCCCATTGCGCTAACAACGATGACGATCCACAAGAGAAGAAAAAACTCCAGAATTCTCCCAATCTTCACTATCGGTGTCAATGAACTCGATGCAGCGTCAAATGGTACGTTAAAAAATTTATTGGTAGGACTTAATTACCAACATTAATAGTCATGTAATAGTCATGTAACCATGCCAATGTACCAAATATAGCAGATTACCATTAAATGATAATTATTATGAAAAGTAATAAAATGAGATTAGCCCCCCCTAAACTGAATAACAGTAATTAATAATGTCAATTCATAATAATTACAATAAAGACAAAAATGTTATTAAGGGATGCCAAATACTAATCTCAATTTACCGCATAATAATTAACCATGACTATTATGATACTTAGGGAGACTGAAGTGAAGGTAATAACCAAATTACCATTATACAGTCAATATAATAACTATATTGCTTTTGTCATAAAATTAAAGACTTAATATTATTATTAAGGCCCTGAAACTATTGATAGATTAAAAATTAATCAACTTAAACAATAGTTTGTAATTCTTAATGGCCAAAGTAACAATTAAATCCTTAATCCTTAATGTCTCAAAACAGATCAAGACAATAATTATAGCACTCACTTAATTACTCAAATTAGGCTCATAAACCTCAATGGCCTAAGTGAATTATAACATGGATGAAAATTTGTCGTACTGAAGTAAACCAAAACTTAATATTATTACCAACGATAAATACCAAAATATGGTAGTTAGTAATAATTAGAACTGAATAAACATGTTATAATCAAAAGGAGCTATAATTATTATTTAAATATCAATCAAAATGGTGGGATCCATACTTTAATGACCCAAGATAGGTCCCAAATAGCTTGTTCAAAATAGGTTCTAAAGTCCCAGAGACACATAATACTAAAATGTGCTCAAAATTAAGAGGAAACCAAACAAGCTGCTTCAGTAGGTCATAATGCCTAAAATTGACCTACGGATCCAAAATTGAATGATATTTAAAAATGAATTTATGAGTTAATAATATGCTAAATCCAACCTTAATGCATGCTTTTACGAATGTATAATTATAATAATTTATAAATATACGTAACATGCTTGGATTTGCATATTAATATATTATTAACCCATATATCTTAAATAAATTGCAACACTCTAGACAATTTAATTTGCACCTTAACATTAAATTAAAATTCAAATAGCAAATTAAAACTTAATATTTGCTTCAAAATTGAATGATAATTTAACAATAGCTGAAAGATGAATTAATTTGATCAATTAGTTAGAAGAAGTCTAAATATGATGATGGAAAACACTAAAGCAAGCCCAATAACTAAAGTAGGCCCAGAATTTTTTTTTTTTTTTTTTTTTTTTTGTATTGGACCAAGTCTGCCCAATGGGCCTGACCCGGCCCAAAAATCATAACCCATCATCATCATCTTCTATCTTCAGCCAAAGCCAAACCTAGCGCAGCCATCAGAACAACCAGCGCCGTCCGACAAAGAAGAGCAGCGACAACCAACATCAAATGCCGCCGGCGTCTACTGAAGGAGAGAGGGCAGCAGGTACGTCGCCGGGGATCCGCCTTCGCCTCCGCCATTTCTCTTCTTCGCAGCGCCAACCGCCCTCAACCGCAACGTCGCCCGTCGTCCGCCACCGTCACGCTGTCTTCCCAACGGTGGAGCTCGTCGATACACGGAAGTGACACCGCCTGAATGAGGAGAGACAGCGACGACCGAAGCTAGCGCCGCCTGAAGGAGAGGGAGACAGCCGCGGCGAACCAGAAAAAACCAGCCCACCTCCGCCGTCTGTCCCTGTCGCGGAACCAACGCCGTCGCTCGCCGCCGTCGTCTCCAAGTCGCGATGCCACCGCCGCCAACGCCATCCACCGTCGTGTCTAGCTTCGCCACCGAACGGAGACCGTAACCGGCGAACAAATTCGGTGATTTACCGGCGATTTTCCGGCGAACAAGTAGCAAGGCAGTAGGTTTATTGTTTTAATTTCGAAATTATTTCCTTAATATTTCGAAAAACACTTTATACTATTTTTCCAAAATTATTTCATTATTTCTGGAAAACTGACAATGTATATATATACGTATATGAAATCCAAATATATATGTCCATACAGACTGTAAAAACAAAGCACAAATATATGTATGTCTTTAATAGAATAAGTATATTCAGATTGCATACATATTCAAATTAATCAAAATTATTCTTAATTCACTCGAAACATATACGAAAGAGTTAAAACATATACGAAAGCTCAATGTATATGAAAAACCTAATGTTGATTAGAGGCAATATAATCAACCAGACAGAGATTATAAAGGCTCTGATACCAAATGTTAGATATACAATAGTCTAACTATATGAACCATAATATACGAGAAACCTAACCTCGTATGATACAGAAGCGTAGCCGTGTTGATCTCCAGCCATAGTTGATGTTCCTGTTGTGTTGCCTCTTAACGGTAGACCGTCAGCCATGTTTTGCCTCAGACCTGACTCAGAACCCTAGATGGTGTATTGGTATCTACTGAGCGGTCTGAGTACCGTAACTGAATGTGCTAACTAATCCATAATCCTGTATCCCATCAATCCAGGTTATGTTAGGCACAGAGTTTGGTTGACTAACAACTACTAGTTATTAAGTCCAACCAAACCACTTAATAAGCCTAGTCAACTTGCACCACTTAATTAAGGCCCTAATATATAATGTATAATATATATTATTAGGGAAAATCTTACATATTGTTCATTAATTTTTTTTGAATAGCAATTACAATTAAAATGGTTTGTTTCTTTAGATAAACTGTTTTTTTTTAAATCTTTTTGGATGCACGTCATAATTGAATTATTTGGATGTATGTCATAATCAAAATTTTGGATGTATGTCATAATCGAAATTTTGTAATATATATATTTCTAATTTATTTTGCTTCTGTGAAAAACAAATGTGATTTTGCTTCTACAGTGTGTGCACAGTTCGTACATTCAAAAAAAAAATAAAAATTGCCTTGCCTTGTCCCTCTTGTTCAAGTATTGTATGATGGAAGAATTGATTACATATACATAGCAAGAATAGATTTCTATACGTATTGTCTTTTATTATTATTACTAGTATTTTATATGCGTGATGCGCAAAAAATATATGCCCAATATTAAAATCTTAGTTATATTTTTTTTAAAAAAAATAATAGTGTATATATATATATATATATATATATATATATATATATATATATATATATATATATATATATATATATATAATTGTATAATTTATATTAATATTTTTGAGGTAAAAATTATAGAATGATAAATTACTATATATAACTATGTTAACATTTTAATTAAAACCTAAATGAATTAAAACTTACCATTGAAGAATGTAAGAAAAAATTATTGTGTATGCATGTATATAGTAATAATAGTGTGGAAAGATAACAGAAGTTATAACGACAGGGATATTTTTGTCCAAAAAATTATGTAGTACAACTTTTATAGCATAAGGTACAAAAAAATTTAACAGAAAATAGGGACAAAAATCAGGGGTATAACCTGGATTGAAACTTATTATGTTTTTAGATTTTTATCTCTAAGAATTTACTTTCCTTATTCATTCATATTCAAAATTCATTTTTTTTTGCATTGTACACATGAATTTTGATAATGTAATGTGCGTACACAATATAATGTATTGATAATGTATGATGCGCATAAGAGCATCCAAATTAAATTGCATAGATGCTATTGTTAAATTACGTTAATCATGGCTATTTTGTGATTTATTACTGCAATATGAGCATGTTACTAGTAAGGTTGCTATGCTTCAATATGGAAGTTTCCCTCTTGCATAAATCCGAAAAGTCAATTTGTTTTTCAGTTTTTACCTTTCAATTTCATCTCTTGAAGTTTGCTTTGCATCTAGAGATCCTATTAAATTCCTTATTTTGCTATGAACATATGATTTTATGAATGTATATGAAAGCATACGATATATGTTTTGTAGATCATGTCTTCTATCGCCAAAAGAGAATTTAATGAGCTCGCACTTGACGGTAGCAACTATTTGACTTGGGCTTTAGACATTGAGATTCATCTCGCGTCTAAAGAACTAAGCCAAACTATTGTTGCTGAGTCACAGTGTACTAACGCCCAGAAGGCGCAGGCTCTCATTTTCTTACGTCACCACTTGAACCACAACCTGAAAAATGAATACTTGACTGAAAATGACCCTTTTGCATTATGGAAGTCCTTGAAGGACCGTTTTGACCAGCAGTCATCGATTATCCTCCCTCAAGCCCAATTTGACTGGCTTCACCTGAGGTTTCAAGACTATAAGTTAGTTATTGACTACAACTCGGCCCTTCATAAGATAGTCTCGCAACTAAAGCTCTGCAAACAAGAAGTTTCAGAGACAGACTTAATTGAAAAGACTCTGTCTACCTTTCATGCGAGTAACCTTGTACTCCAGCAGTAGTACAGGGCAAAGAATTATGAAAAGCATTCTGATCTGATATCTGCACTTCTTGTGGCCGAGAAACACAACCAGTTGTTGATGAAAACCCATAATGCACGACCTGCTGGGTCTGCCCCCGCGCCTGAAGCACATCATATTGCCCAGGGAAGCAATTCTAGAAGGGGTCGAGGAAAGGGTCGTGATTGAGGTCACGGTCGAAACAATCGAAGTGGTAAAGGCAAAGGCAACAATGACTCCCGGACCCAAGATAAGAAACAGAGTGATCAAGGTTCATCAAGGTCACAAACCTGTTACCCGTGTGGATGTACGGGACACTGGTCTCGTACGTGTCGCACACCAAAGCATCTGGTTGAAGCTTACAAAATGACGCAAAAGAAAAATGATAAGCAACCGTCAGGAAAGGAATCTCATCACACCAACACTGATTTGCCTGAAGCAAATGCAGTGATGAATGATGATGATGACCTTTTAAAATATGAGCTTGAAGACTTTGGTGATCAAGAATGATCGGTTTTATGCTCTTGGTTTATGAACCTATTTTTCGTGTCGTTTCTTTTGGATTATGAACTTATGTTTTTTTTTTTTTTTTCATTTTATGACTTGATTTCTATGTTTTCTATTTTATCATGATGAATGGTTCACCTCTTTTTTTTTAACCTTCACATGCTGTTTTTGTGTCAAGGCATTGGTTAATTAGTAATGAACAACCACTGTTCGAGAAGTAACCCCGAAGATCTTACAACATTGCAAAGTTGTTGTTCGCACAATGGAGCATGAACCAACATTATGTTTGGTGGATAGTGCAACCACGCATACTATCCTAACGGATATGAGGTTTTTTAGTACTTTAAACAAATCAAGTAGTAATATTACTACCATTTCTAATGATCAGGTACAAATAGCGGGCTTCGGAAGAGCATCCATCATCCTCCCTAAGGGTACAAAGCTACTAATTGAAAATGTTTTGTTGTACCCTCAATCTAAACGAACCTTGCTGAGTTTCAAGGATATTCTTTCAAATGGTTTTCATATTGAAACCAAGACTAAGAACAAAGAGGGGTTCTTGATCATGACTCGGTTGATCACTGGTCAAAAGCGGGAGGTTGAGGAACTTGCCTCTTTATCCTCTGGGTTATATTATACCTATATACAACCCAATGATTCATTTGTTGCACTAACCATGAAACTCAAAAATCCACATTCTTTTCAAATGTGGCATGACCGTTTGGGTCATCCTGGGCAGAATATGATGGGTCGGATCATATCTAATTCTGCTGGACATAACCTGTCGAGATCCCAGGTACTTTCGCCAAATATGTTTACATGTGTGGCTTGTGCGAAAGGTAAATATATTGAACGCCCGTCGCGTACTAAGGTTGGACAAGAATCGCCTATATTTCTGCAGAGATTGCAGGGCGACATTTGTGGACCTATTAGTCCACCTTCTGGACCATTTAGATATTTTATGGTCCTTATTGATGCTTCCACTCGTTGGACTCATGTTAGTCTATTGTCCACGAGGAACAAAGCTTTCGCTAAATTTGTTGCGAAAATTATTGAGTTGAATGCCCAATTCCCAAATTATCCCATTAAATCAATAAGAATGGATAATGCTGGAGAATTCACATCAACGACTTTCAATGATTATTGTATGGCCTTGGGCATCAAAGTGGAGCATCCTGTACCTTATGTCCATACTCAGAATGGTCTGGTCGAGTCCCTGATTAAGCGTATTAAATTAATCGCTAGACCATTACTGCAGAAGTCTGGTTTACCAATCTCATGTTGGGGACATGCAGTATTACATGCTGCAGCTTTAATACAAATCCGACCTAGTGCATATCATGATTATTCTCCCTTGCAACTACTACGTGGTGTAGAACCTAACATTTCCCATCTGCGTGTATTTGGGTGTGCAGTCTATACCCCCATACCACCTACAAATCGTACCTCCATGGGTCCGCAGCGAAAACTAGGTATATATGTTGGTTATGAATCTCCTTCCATCATTAAATACCTAGAGCCCATGACAGGAGATCAGTTTACCGCGAGGTACGCTGACTGCATTTTTTATGAAGATCATTTCCCGGCATTAGGGGGAGATAAAAGACCTTATTTAACGAAATGCCATGAAATCTCATGGGATGAAAAAGATTTTCAGTATCTAGACCCACGTACTAGTCAAACTGAACTAGAAGTTCAGAAAATTATTAATTTGCAAAATTTAGCAAATAACCTGCCAGATGCTTTTACTGATAACAGAGGAGTGACTAGGTCCCATACCCCTGCTGTGAATGCTCCTTCGAGAGTTGAAGTCCCCGTGGGACCAAGTATGCACACTAACACTCCCCATCGCCAGAAGCGCGGGAGACCACTTGGTGCAAAAGATTTAAATCCACAGAAGAAGAGAATTGGTAAAATATCTCAGTCACTCCAAAAAAATGTTAACCGTCCTGAAGACGACCGTCCCGAAGACGGAGAACCCAGTGAACCTGCACGTGCTCTAAATAATACGAACACTGGGGATGCGGAACATCCATATCAAAATATTTTGGGAAATGACGATGATCTGGTTGATGTCAATATAGAAACGGCCATAAATTTTGTTGATACAGGAGAAACATATAATAGAGATTTAATAGTCGTCGACGACACTTTTGCCTATGCAGTTGCCTGTAATATTCCACAAAATAATCTGGATCCAGAACCAAATTCAATAACCGAGTGACGGAAGCGCTCTGACTGGTTGAAGTGGAAACAGGCAATTGAGGCAGAGCTCAACTCGCTTAATCAAAGGAAAGTTTTTGGTCCCACCGTACTTACCCCCAAAATATGTGATCCCATTAGGATCCAGGTGGGTATTCGTACGGAAGAGGAATGAAAACAATGAGGTGGTTAGATATAAAGCGAGATTGGTAGCTCAGGGGTTCACGCAGAGACCCGGGATTGATTTTGATCAAACATACTCTCCTGTTATTGATGACATCTCATTCCGCTATTTAATATCATTGGCAGTAAGTATGAAATTAGATATGCAGTTGATGGATGTAGTGACAACTTACCTTTATGGGTTACTAGATGCTGATATATACATGAAAATACCCGAGGGTATTCAAAATTCCAATATGAGGGATAAAGATCGAAACATGTATAGCATCATACTTCAAAGGTCATTATATGGCTTGAAGCAATCTGGTAGAATGTAGTATAACCATTTGAGTGAATTCCTCCTGAAGAAGGGGTACGTTAAAAATGATATTTGCCCTTGTATATTCATTAAGAAGTCATCTAATGGCTTCTACATTATATCTGTCTATGTCAATGACATGAACATTATTGGGACAAAGGAAGACCTTATAGAAGCATGTTCATGCTTAAAAGCAGAATTCGAAATGAAAGACTTGGGAAAAACCAAGTTCTGCCTCGGCCTGCAGATCAAGCATCTTCCAAATGGAATTTTCATTCACCAAGCTAACTACATTAATAAATTATTGGAGAAATTCTATATGGATAAATCTCATCCCCTTAGCACCCCAATGGTAGTCCAGTCCCTTGAAGCGGAAAAGGACCCATTTAGACCTAAGGAGGATAATGAGGAGGTACTAGGACTTGAAGTTCCTTACCTAAGTGCTATTGGAGCCTTGCTTTACCTGGCTAATTGCACAAGACCTGATATTGCATTTTCAGTGAATTTACTTGCTAGATTTAGTGCCTCTCCAACCAGAAGACATTGGAGTGGAATAAAGCATATCTTTAGATATCTCTAAGGGACAAAAGACCTTGGTCTTTATTTTGAAAACAACCAGGACATTACTTTGAAAGGTTATTCAGACGCTGGTTATATGTCTGACCCTCATACTGCTAAATCGCAAACTGGTTATGTTTTTCTTTGTGGAGGTACAGCTATATCTTGGAGGTCCATTAAACAGACCTTAGTTGCTACCTCATCTAATCACTCGGAGATAATTGCTTTATATGAAACCGCACGCGAATGCGTATGGTTGAGATCACTGATACAGCATATTCATCGCTCATGCGGAACAATGAGCAATGTTGATTCCCCGACTGTCCTATATGAGGACAATGCGGCATGTGTTGCACAGATGAGTAATGGGTACGTTAAAGGAGGTCTTACTAAACATATTGCTCCTAAGTTCGTTTACCCACATGAACTCCAAAAGAGTGGTGAAATACTCATTGAAAAGGTTCGCTCTAGTGAAAATCTGGCAGATTTGTTCACTAAGTCCCTGCCTACATCCACTTTTGAGAAGTATGTTTATAAAATTGGGATGCGGAGGCTAGGAAGACTGTTGTCTTCAGGGGGAGCGATAAACTCGGTCTAGGAGACTTTTAAATCCTGAAGATGATGCCCAGAAGGCTTATGGTTGTACTCTTTTTCCCTTAGCTAAGTTTTTTTTTCCCACTGGATTTTTCTTAGGCTAAGGTTTTTAACGAGGCAACCGATGCAACACATGATTGATACTACATGTACTCTTTTCCTCGACTAGATTTTTCCCACAGGGTTTTTCTAGCGAGGTTTTTAACGAGGCATGAGTATAATTATTTAATTGCCAAGGGGGAGTGTTGTAAATATTTATATTTATGGCCATTAAACTATTTAGACCTTTCACTTGCTTAGCTTTTAATCATGTATTGATGTTGTGTACTTGAAAGGTTGTATATGACCACTATATAAAGTGAATGAAGATGAATGAAAGGGACACACTTACATGATTGTTATGCTATAGCTTGGTGTTATTCTTCTCCTTCCTTTTCCCCATCTATACACCTATAAACACACATACATATACATACGCAATTCGAGGTGTATAACCGTGAAAGCATCACGCGAGAACCAACGAGCGAATAGGCTAAAACTTAATAAAAAATCATTGTTTATATTTCATTTTTTAACCACAAATGATCGATGGATAGGAGATTCGTCTAAATTGAGATATATTATCAAGTTTTAATAAAATACTAAATTGAATTGAATTAAA